GGGGAGGGGGAGGGGGAGTCCATCGCTGTGAGGGACGGGCCAGTGTGCCGATGCTCACGCTATTAGCATGCTGCCCGAGTGCAGTGTCTCCAAGTTGGCCATCTCTCAGCCGGGCGATAAAGTAATTTAACGAGGGCTGTCTTCCAGGCTGGAGCTCCCGGAGATTGCTCCCCATTTATCACGGAGGAAAAATCTGGATCCGCAGCCCCACGGCTGCCAACCTCCTCGAGGCTGCACGCCACTGATCTCTGAATGGTGAAGTTCTGCCCTGGGTAATGGAGTCGGAGCCCATCCGCCCCAGTGGCTGCAAAAGCGCTTCTCCACCCAGCCCTCGGCCTGATGCGAATCCCCGGGCTCCATCTGGTCCTCGCAACAGAGTGGGAGATGATGGACCCTGGGAAGAGCTGCTGCCTGCAGACTCTGCCTGCTCTGCTGCCGTGCCATGATGTCACTCCACAGAGAAGGGGTGGGGAGTGGAAGAAATACGTTTCTGAGTCCCACTGCAAAATGCACAAATTTTTGTGCACTGGGCCTCTAGTATATTATAAAAAAAGAAGAAACCACAGCCTTGGCTGGTGTGGCTCAATCCCAAGCACTGAGAGGTGACAGGTTGGATTCATGATTAGGGCACATGCCCAGGTTGAGGGCTCAGTCCACGGTCAGGGTGCATATGGGAGGCAACCTATTGATGTTTCTTTCTCTCTCTCTCTCTCTCTCTCTTGAAAAAGAACCACAGATTTAATTACACAAAAATAGAGAACTGCTATATAAAAAATGATAATAAACCAGCTAGGAAAACAATAAACAGAAATATAACAAAGGGTTACTGCCCACACCATCTAACAGGCAGGCCTACATAAACTGACAAATCAACACCAAGACTGAGATCAACAGGTAAAGGACATGGGTAACTGAGATGAAATAGTTAAAACAACAAAAAGAGAAAGCAGTTAACATTAAGTGCTGAGGTGGTAAGTAAAAATCTTCCTAATTTCCTTAGTATAATGTGCAAAAACATCAAACATTAGATAAATAGTATTAAAGGAATGGCAATGGTAAAGTCCCATGGAAACCGATCTTACAACATTGAGGGCAGGAATGAGCTACCCGCCCTCTTAGCACCCCCCCCAGCACCTAGGCATGATGCTTCATATATGGTCCATGCTCAAAATATTTGTAGACCAATGCCCAGCTAGTCTCAAGGATCAAATGCCACAGGCTATTTCTAAGATAATTTTTAAAAAATTACTAAGGCAATGGAAAGACGTGCATTTTGTAAATGCTTGTGGCTTGTTGAATGAGAACATCTGCTTTCTACAAAAGTCTAAACACTTCTTCAGTTAAGCTCTATAGCCAAATGTTAAGTGTGTTAATGTTCCTCAGGCCTTATTTTGTGTATACAATCTAAACACAACACTAACACAGAATTTACACTTCAAGCTGTACCATTAAAAAAGAAGTGTGCATATGTTTCACTTATTGAACATCTGCTATTAATAAATAAGTTAAAACTATTTGACTTCAGGGTAAGAGAAATAAAAGAGGAAAAAAAGCCTAGATGCCCAAAACATGATTTACTTTAGGTAGTTCTTCATAGCACATATTATGGAAAATCATTCCAAATTTGTCTTTTTCTTCTAAAAATGGTTCACTAAGCTAAGTGGCATATTATCCACAAAAAATTAGGTGAAAAATGATTAATTACAATGAATCTCACTTCTTGCAAAGTTCATATGCAACAGGATTTTAGACGACTGAACTAGAAAAGATAGGAAAGAAATGTAATAAAGCTAAGCCAGACTAGATTTATTCTAAGAAATTTCATGTAATCATTTGTCAAAATTAGTGAATTTTGCCCAAAGAGCTTCATTTTGTACCTTCAAGTAGTTTTTATCCATTTAACGCCTTTCTTTGCTTAAAAACAGAAAAGAAAAAAATGGGGATGAAAGGCTACTGAAACGTTTTTGCAAAAAGCAGCAATATTTTGGAAACCTCTGAATGAAAAGTAATACAAGATGAATCATTATAGCACATTATATAAACTAACTAGGTAACTAAATATCTTTCCACAATCTTGAAATATTCTTTGACTAAGAACTTGAATGCTACCATCATTTTAGTGAATGTCTCTAGATTTCCCTTTCATATGTAATCTTCAGTTGAGATCTTCTTCAAAGGGCTTTACTTTTCGAAGAAGATTTTTGAAAATCTGCTTCTTAAGCTTAAAATGGTAGTATTTTGTTTTCAAAATTCAAACTAAGTTTTCTTAATCATCTGAAGCTGTGTAGCTCAAAGTCTTTAAAATGGACAGAAGACATACTATGAGTCAGCTTGATCTCCTCTCCCAATGTTCCCTGATCAAAAACATGAATAGAGCCGAAACCGGTTTGGCTCAGTGGATAGAGCGTCGGCCTGCGGACTGGGGGGGGTCCCAGGTTCGATTCTGGTCAAGGGCATGTACTGTGGTTGTGGGCACATCCCCAGTGGGGGGTGTGCAGGAGGCAGCTGATCGATGTTTCTAACTCTCTATCTCTCTCCCTTCCTCTCTGTAAAAAATCAAAAAAATATATTAAAAAAAAACAACACATGAATAGAGTAGATTCTCTATGCATAAAACTTTAAGATAATGTATATGTTAAAATGGCCAGTCATATAATTGTTTGATGTATTAATAGTATACTATTATAACCAAAAAATAATAATAAAGCAATCTAATACCCAGTAATAGAAGGATAGTTACATATTTTTGGTTGAGCTACTGGGGAAAAGATGGTATGGCCGTTAATCTGATCACTCACTTGGCAAATAGTGATTGAGCCCCTGCTATGTACCAGACACTGGAGAAAGAATGCTAAACTGAAGACACATGGTCCTACCCTCAAAGTCTCACAGTCTGGGGAAGAAAACAGACATTAAACAAATCATCTCATAAATACAAACATAAATACTAACCATGTTAAGTACTATGAAAGAAAACAACAGGATACCCAACTGAGATTGGAGATTGCAGAAATGATATTTGAGGGGATTCTTAGGTATGCATAGGGGTTTGACAAATGCTGAGTTGAGCCCTAGGGACCGGGGAGGCAAGGGGCACAGTATAGGCAGAAAGACTTAATACATGCAAAGGCCAAAGTGTGAGGGAAAAGGGACTAGAATGAATACTAGTTAAGTGACCATTGGTCTAGCCCAGGGAAGAGCCAGGGGCTTGAACCAGTGTGCTAACAAAGGAGATGGAGACGAGAGAGCGGATGAAAATGTATTCCACAGAGAATGGACATGATGCTATAACTGATATAAAGAAAGAACATGGAACAACATGAAAAAAGGGGCATGATACAATGTTTAATTTTAAATGTAGGACCTCATATAATATATGATTTAGCTAAAGTGAAAAAAATACATTTGAGAATTGTGAAACTGGCAGTAGGCTTATAGTGTAATGTAACATGACTTTTATACTTGCAAACACTTCTTAAAGGAAATGTATTCCTTAATTATGGTATATCAACTGACAATATAACCATTACAAAGTTGGACCAGAACTTACAACTATGAAGACAAAAAAGGCATTACGATATAATAAAATTTAAAGTGCAAAACCTGTAATTGCAGACAGTATGATCAAGTTACATTCTAAAAAGCTAAACATTTAAGACACTACAGAACATAAAACAATACAATTATTTAATACAAATACAGAGAAAAAGGAATCAAGAAAATGAAAGTAATTATAAAGGTAACACTGCAAAAGAAGCTATCAATATACATACATTTTTGTTAAAGTTCTAATTCTTACTATAAATGATTTTTACCTTTCTTTAATGAATGTAATGCTGATGTGAAGAAGGTCAAATAACCAGGTGGCTGGGGTGAACCACTGAACTCAAAGTACCCAAGTACTCCAGGCTGCAGGAACAAGAGCAGAATTAGGTGACAGAGGTATCACTAATCACTGTGCAATGGGGACATTTTAAAACAAGAAAGAACATGCCATTATAATTTGACAATTGTCATTTGCTGCATTTCATTTTTTTTAAAGCCTAACCACATGAAAAAAATTGGGGTTTAGGGTGGACCTTTCCTTCCATTTAGGCAACAGGGTTAAAGGATACAACTGCAGCAGCTTTTCAGGGGACATTAATTCAGAGCTGAAACTTCCTTCCCTCTTCTTAAGTAGGTCTTTCCACTCTCTGTTGACAGTTCTCCTAGGTCCCTGGTTCAAAACCTCACCATCAAGTACAAGTACTCACTTACTTCTCTTTGGCAACAAGCTGTCAATTTCCTCATAATCTTTCTTAGATTTATTTCTCCCTCAAATTGCTTTCTCAAATCCCAACACCCCTTCACGCTTAATGGAAATCAGGTTAAATCTGATTTGCTCCACTTGTGTTCCAGGTAGTTCTTCGAGGGGCTCTTTTCTCCCCCACACCCAGAACCCAGCATTCTATCATAAAAACCCTCCTCTCTTGTCAGATCAGTCTGCAAAGGGCCCATCTCCTACTCTCTTGTTCCTCTTCCCCACAAACTTATTTCCATCTGTTCATTCAACTTCTCTAAGCTTAGGACAGAATTCCCTCCATTCTGCTAAACCAATAAATTATCTCTTCCATATACATCCTGCCTTCCTGTCCAGAATAATTCCTTCCATCGCTAAAGGCCCTGTGGCACTCATTCTCTCTGGTTTTGTTCTGAAATGATTTTATCTGTCTTAAAAGCCAAATTGAGATCTCTGGAAAGAGGGC